ACACAACCAAATCTTGGAATAGGACCAAGAATAACATATACCTTTAGTATTTTAGAAGATAAATGTAAAGAAGTAGCTTTACAAGAACAGTTAAAAAAGAACGCTTACGCATTTTGTAAAACAGCTATATATATTCCACAGGCATACGGTCATTATAACAATAAAAAGAAAAAACTTAGAAAAAGTACTACATATAAAACAAAATATAAACCTTATAATAAGGATAAATATGTTAAAAAACCACAAACAAGAAAATGTAAATGTTTTATTTGCGGCGATGAAAAACATTTAGCTAATAAATGCCCCAATAAAAATAAAAATATAGAACGAAGTAATCTTATAGAACAAATAGGAGAATATAATTTAGAAMCAATTGAAACAGACAATTCTGATAACGAATCAATATACAGTATATATAGTGATGCCGAAGAAAATAATTCAGTRACAAAAATTACATATACATATACCAATATAGAACAAGAAGAATGTCAACATAATTGGRTATATAAAAGAGGAAATAATTATATTAAATGTTTTAATTGTGGATATTATCCTAGTATAGATAGAAGATCACAATGTAATATATGTTACAAAGAAATTTGTTACATWTGTCTTAAAAAACTATATAATATAGAATTAAATACCGAAAAAGACTATAAAAAGAAAAATATAGACACTGAAGTTTGTACTGAAAAGGTTGAAAAATTAGAAATAATTGCAKAATTATATAAATTAAAAATAAATAATCTAGAAGAAAACATTACAGGTATAAACAAAATAATAAATAGCTTAACAGAAAGAATAGAAGATTTAGAAGCCCAAACAAATAAAAAAGAAGATATTTCTCAAATGTCTCAAGAACAAAATAATGATATAGCCTTCATTAAAACAACATGTTCAATAAATATGATTAATATACAATGTAGATTATGGTTGGATAATAACCAATTGATAGATCTAACAGCATTAGTAGATACAGGTGCTAGTAAAAGCGTAATTTCACACAGTTTAGTGCCAATTAAGTTCATAAAGAATTAACATATAAACTTCTTACACGTACAATTGAAAAACGGCTAGTACAAATTAAAAATTATATAGAACCAGCAGGAATACAATTTTTAGAYTTTGCAGGAAATTACAGTATTAAATATGYTATTCCTCAAATAAATATAAACCCTCAACACATACAATCACAAGATTTTGTATTAGGATTAAATTTCTTATTTAGTTTAAATGG